TCATTGTAGCTAGCTCCCTCAGTCTAATCTAAAATTTAACATCTAATCAATATTCAAACCGGTGAAAGTATTTGCAGCAACTGTCTCTGAACCAGCATTAAAAAAAGCATCCCTTTATCCTTAGGAAAACTTTGTTGTAGTAAAGCTATGAAGGTCTGAACAAGTCACAGCTGCCACAACAGCTAATGGATTAAAGCCACCCTGCAGCACTGGCTGTCTCAGCCCTGATCGTTTATGTCAGTGTAATAGAGTCACACATCCTGAGGCTCACTAATTCAACCCCCTGTCATGCAGAGCTATCCACTGACTCTTCTGTGCTCATATATTTTTCCTGAAATGTCCACAGTGTGATGTGTTTCTTATGTAATCACCAATCAGTGGTATTTTTTCTGGCTTACTGATCTTTCTTTTTTTTTTTTAATTTTTTTTTAATATTTTATTTTATTTCTTTGAGAGAGAGAGAGAGAGAGAGAGAGAGAGAGAGAGAGAGAGACCAGCTCAGCCCACCAGGGGGCGGGCTGGCTGGCATGTGGTGCTGGGGATCGAACCGCGGTCCCTGATGCTTTTGCCAAGCTTGCTCTAAGTAGGTGCTTTAGACCACTGAGCCATCTCTCCAACCCCTGGCTTACTGATCTTTCAAGGCTCCCATAAAAGTGTCCTTTTATTTCCCATCTAAGTTAAAAATAATTGAGGTAAAACCCACCCTGACAGAGTGCATCAAAATAACATTTTAATTACTGATAACTAAGTTATACATTGCTAAATTAAGAGTGTGGTGTTGATATGGTGGTGTAGTACTCTTCATCCTTTCCCAGTGAATGCATTTGGTTTCTCTTTTTCTATTCTTTGGAATTGTTTTCAAAGATTATAATTTCACTCATGTTGAAATGTGGGTGATGCCTCTCACAGGAGGTGTAGCCCCCTCATCAGCTTCTAAGCTATACGAGACTGGGCAGCTTTGCTGCTGACAGGCAAGTCTGGTGTCAGGGACCCACATATGCCTGCACATGCCACGCGATAAAAAATGAAGCATAGAGGACCATGAATTGCAATAGCAGTTTCTGTCCTCTCAAAGGGAAGCATTTCAATTCCCAATGAAATTCAGTTGAAATAATGCCTTGGAAAATAACTAATTATATCCACCTGTGTGAGCTAGATATGTACACTTCTGTGAATTGTGTCTACAAAAGTTCAATACAGGCCCAATGAATAAAGAAAAGAGCATTGTTTCAGACAGTAAATAGTAAGAATGAATAGATATGAGATAAAATTAAATGTCTAAAGGAGAATAATTTGCTTTGAATATAAAAATTCTTCTTTTTAAAAGAATATGCTGGCCGTGTAATGCATGAAATCCAATGAATATTGCATTTAGTTTCTTCATAAAACTTATATTGGTTTTACTATAGTTCATATATGGGTAATATATTCATCCATTTTTCTTTAAAACTTATGTAAGTCTGTTGAGAATGTGTGTTCTGGGAAAATCACTTAATATGTTTATCTGGAAAAGCATTTCTTCAATAGGTACTCGTTAAGTAATTGAATGATTAAGAGAGTTTATTAACAGACACAACAAATGATAAAATTTGACACTGTTATACTTCTTTTTACTTTAGTATTTGGATTTTGACAAGGGTGGTTCTAGAAAGTTGAAATTGTGTGGTAAATCTACATATACCATCACGTTATTACTCATATCATCTGTGTGTGTGTGTGTGTGTG